TATTTCCAGTAGAAGTGTCCTATTCTGGCAATTCATATTTGCTTAACAACTTTGGGTGGTACGAGGTTTTAGGTTTGTTTCAATTTGGCACTGGTGGCTAGCTGCTCTTTTTTTACTCGATTTAGGTGTAAAATGTAAATAGCCTTCGATTGAGTGAAGGCTTATTTTCTTGATGTAAATGGCGGGATTGATTTTTGCAACGACTTTTGGTTGGTGCTGTAAATGGTCTTGTAGTCCTTTTGCTTTCCATTTCCTTTTCCGGAAAGAGATTAACAGTAAGTACGTGCCAAATAACAATCATCCGATGGCCGGGATGATTACTAAAAAGTTGGTCACTATAATAGTCACTAAAAATATTTAATTTCATTCATGGTCATTAAGATTAGTTAAATGTTTGGGTGCGCCTACGGTGACATTCATGTCATGGTGACTTGCACTTTTCGGTCGACCTCAGTTAGGATTAGGTCGACCTCATTTAGCATTAGGTCGACCTAACTGTTGTTTCGGTGTAAAAACAGTTTAATGGTGCTTACTTTGAAGATTCATATCATGCAATTGGCTAGATGAAAATTGAAGATTAATGGCTTGTTTTGAAGCTGGAGTGTCCCTCTACATATTGAAGTAATTGAGAGCTCGATAGGAAGTCCAAGAGACCATTTTTGAACCTGATCAAAAGGCTATGCCAAAATTGGGAAACTGCCTGAAAATGGCCAAGTCTGGGAACGTGTTTGTGAAGTCTACTTTGGAGTTCAATTCGAGAAGCATGAATGCGATTTGAATTTGTATAAAAACATACTTAATTTAACGTGGTAGAGGCCGCTGGACTCGACTCGCATCCATGCTTCTCAAATTGAGCTCCAAAGTAGGCTTCACAAACACGTTCCCAAACTTAGCCATTTTCAGGCAGTTTCCCTGTTTTGGCATAGCCTTTTGATCAGGTTCAAAAATGATCTTCTGAACTTCCTATCAAGCTCCCAAGTACTTTAATGTGTAGAGGGACACTCCAGCTTCAAAACAAGCCATTAATCGCCAATTTCCATCTAGCCAATTGTAAGATATGAATCTCCAAAGTAGGCACCATGGAACTATTTTTACACTGAAACAATAGATTAGGTCGACCTAATCTTATATGAGGTCGACCGAAAAGTGCATGTCACCGTGACATGCATGTCACCGTAGCAAAGTCCTAAATGTTTTATGTTTTAAGTTTGGTTACTCTTTGTCCAACTCTGTTAATTTTGTCTAACAAGTTAGTTAACTCTAATAGTTTACCGTTAAATATAAAGGTGGCAAATGGATTGGATCCATGGATTGATGGATTGGATTGGTGGATTCATGGATTGGATCAAGTGGATTATCCATGAATCTAAATGACATTCTCAACCTTGGAACAATATGTAAAATGTGAAAAGTTTAGGTACTAAAATGTCATAATGAGAAATTTTAGGTACCAAAATGTAATTTTTCAATGATATTTTGCGTATAAAAAATAAATTTTAAGTACCAAAATGTAAAATATAAAAAGTATAGGTACCAAATCATAATTTGCCATTTGGATCCATGGATAAATCCATGAATGCACCAATCCAGATGGATTGGATTAGGTGGACATTTTTAATGGATTGGTGGATTGTATAGAGAATTGACATATGTGACATGGTTAGTAAATACTAATATTTAATATTTTTTAAATTCCAACTCATTCACAATTATTAAAAAATTCTAATTTCTTCTCATTCCCAATAAATCTAATTTCTTTCGGCAGCATACCCACACCAGCCGACGACGCCACCTTCTCCGGCAGATCTCACTCCAAGTAGTGATGGCAATGGGGGCGGGGCGGGTACCTCAATTCCCATGCCCCGGCCCACGCTACTACGGGTCGGGGCGGGGTGGGTCGACCCACTCTTACATGTTGTTCAAAAAAAATACAAGTAAATTTTACTTTTTACAATAAAACGTAAGGAAAAACACTTTAAGAATGAAAAATATTGATAATAGAATGGATAATTGAGCCTAACAAGTTGAAAGATCGACTTTAACTAGTTGAAGAAAAGTCAAAATAGGAGAAATATGTATAGATATTGTAAGAAATTGAGATAAAATGAGTCTAGAACGGGGCGGGTCGGGGCAGGGCGGGTCGGAAGTAGATACCCATGCCCCGCCCCACGCTACTGCGGGTCGGGTAATACCCGCGGGGCGGGTTGAAATTGCCATCACTAACTCCAAGTACATATTCCAGCGCCGACAGCATCCTCCTCACCGAGGTCGTACGCCAATAAGAGGGAGTGGGAGCAGCGACTGGAGTCTCTGAAAATGATACAAAAGCAAGGACCCAAGAAGAGAAATTAAGTAGACACTAGGGGTGGAGTTCAGTCGGTTCGGTTATAATCGAAAACCGAATTAGGGGTGGAGTTTGGTCGGTTCTGTTATAACCAAAAATTAAATGGTCGGTTTTCGGTTATAACCGAACTACCTCCCACACCTACCGACTGAAAGAAGCCTTAAGGCTTCGGTTATCTCGGTTAACCGAGTTGCCCCTAAGACCAAAATCATCTCGTTCATCCCTCCGAATACCGACCGATTTTCGGTTAGCGGATAACAGGCCGATTTCGATTGTAACCGGTCGGTTAACCGCTAATCGGTAACCGATTGTCGAGCCCTAGTAGACACACTTGGGGAAATCTGCTATTCAATTAGTTCCTGTAACTATTCGCCGGAAAAATTAAAGGTGATCTAATTTGGACTCTATTCTCGATGACTGGCTCAGGGGAACTCCAAGGCCCACGTGATTGGGTATGACGAAGCGGTCAACCAAGCCGACCAAGAAATTCGTTGTGCCCAAACTAGCACCAGAAACCCGAACCGTCCCCTAGCAAGCTTCCTCTTCGACGGTGCTTGGAAATCCGGTGTCGGGAAAACAAAGCTCGCCCAAGCCATAGCCATCAAATTCTACAGATCCAAACAGTCCCTAGTTCGTGTCGACATGGGTAGAATGATGGTGGAGAAACAATTTCTAGCTTTTTTTACCGATTCAATTTGTCGGAACCACCGCAAAGTCATCATGTTTGCGAAATTGAGAAAGCCCATCCTGTCATCGCCAAGTCCCTTCTCCAAATCATCAACTCTGGAGAAAGCCCATCCTGCCATCGCCAAGTCCCTTCTTCGGTCCATGTTTTTGTAACGTTTTCAGAGACTCCAGTCGCCTCCCACTCCCTCTTTTGGCATACGACCTCGGGAGGAGGTGCCACCGGCGCCGGAATCTGTACTTGGGGTGAGATCCGTCGGAGAAGGTAGCGCCGTCAACTGGGATGGGGATGCTCCGAAGAAATTAGATTTATTGGGGATAAGAAGAAATTAGATTTTTTTTAATAATTTTGAAAATGAGTTGGAATTTAAAAATATTAAATTTTATTACTTTATTATTATTTAATTGTCACGTCACGCATTTAACGGTCAACATTGAGAGTTTACTACCAAGTCAGACAAAACTAACGGAGTTAGACGGGGAGTGACCAAATTTGAAACATTTAACTAATCTTAATGATCATGAATGAAATTAAGTATTTTTAGCGACTAAACATGAATATTTTTAGTAATCACAGTGACCAAGATTGCAATTTACCTCTTAAATATCCAACTAATCAAATTCATGTAATTCAAATTTAATTGGATTGGTGGATTCATGGATTTATCCATGGATTGAAATGATAAATTATAGTTTAGTACCTATATTTCTTATATTTATAATTTGGTACCTAGAATTTATTTTTTATGCAAAAAATGTCATTAAAGCTTACGTTTAGATGCCTATTTTTTATCATTTACATTTTAGTACCTAAAATTTTCAAAATTTACATATTGGTCCAGTCATTTGGATTCATGGATCAATCCATCAATCTATATAATCCAATCCATTTGATCCATGAATCTACCAATCCAACCAATTAAGCAAGTAAGCATATGTCTAATACATTTATAATACACTTACTTAATACCTGCATAACCCCCAAGAGTAAAGAGTTTCTCCCTTTTAAGATCCATAAAATAATTAAAGCTCGTAATTGTTCTTATACTATATTTATTTTTGTAGAGGGTAGGCAATACTATATGCGCTCCTAATTTAGATAAAGTTTATACATTATGTAGGATGAAAACCTAAATGGGAAGACCTATTTCAGTGTATGATAACTGTTAAGTGACTGTGACAATTCGCACCAGACACATCACATTCGTTGCCCATACCGTTTGTATATAGTTATGTTAGGTGGCTACATCTAATGATTGTAAGATAATAATATTCGTCACATGTATTTATGTTGAGGGTTAACTATAAGTTGATTTTCGTGTTTTATTCATTAATATATTATGGATTGATGCATAGATTTTCCTCACATACGATAATATTCTGTTATATTAGTTAATACGATAAACTAATTCATCAAACCGATTAAACATTGATTTGACGAATTTAATTATTATATTAATTTGGATAATTTAAATTAATTAATATAATTTATACTTAATTAGTTTGATAATTATCATGATAATCATTTCAACACCCTAACATCATAGGCTGCAGGTTAGTGTAATAAGCCCATAAGACAATAGATTCGGCTGCTGAAAGCCCATACTGCGGTTTAGATGGGCTTTCTTGGTAGCTAAATTAATGAAGCACCACCGCCGCAGGAAGAAACCATCGCTCCACAACGATATGGAGATGCACCCACGTGTCCATTCGCGTTTTCCGGCAAATGATTCATTTTCTACCCTTCCCCTTTCAGTTCTGGAATCCGTCGCTGTCCTTCCCCAAACTCCAATCTCAAGCCACCCCTCAAAGGATTCAATTCCCCATGATCGACCAAGAATCAAACAAGGCAATGGAATCGACTCAGAAGTTGCAGTTTCTCACCGATGAAATCCAGAAGCTAGCACAAGAGAAGAAGAAGAAGAAGAAGAAGAAGAACCAAGAAGAAGAAGAAGTCTACGGCGATTCCATCCCATTAGACGACAAAGATCGGCCTATTCTCTCCAGACTGCTCTCCGAGGTAACAATCATTTTTCCATCATCCCTCGTCTACTACAACGTAACATACAGATTCTGAATGAAGAGCCATGGAGAATAGAAAAGTGATTCTACGCGTTACCGTGGACAGTTGGAATCGCTGAAAGGAGAAGGGACGCTGAAGCAACCCGGGTCCCCGCGAGGCGGAGAAGGCAGGTCGAGAAATCGTCGGGACAGCAAGAAAACAGATGCAGATGAGGAGCTAGTGAAGGAGATTAGGAAGGTGAAGAGGCAGAACTTCATCACCCACTGCCTGCTTTCTGCTCTGATCGTGGTGACGGTGGGCTGGCAAGTCTCCGAGGTGTCCATCGCCTTGGCGGTGAAGGACAAACTAAGCCATCCAGTGAGGTCCTTGCTGAGCAGCTTCTTTCCAGGCCGGGTTCGAAACGAGCAGGATGGAGAGAGGAAGCAATCTGCTGAGGAGACGGATTCTGGTTCCACCATCAACATGCCCGAGCTTCCCTGCGTGGATTTCGGGCTCACTGGCGACAAGTAGTCGCAGCAAGCCTTGGAAGCAAGAACATTTTTGCAGTGTATTTGTTGTATCAATCCATTTTGTAGTCTTTACTTTTCTGCAGTTGGGGAAAACTGGGCAACGTTCTGTGTCTATTTTGTCATTATCATCATTTGCTTGGTAGAAGTATATCTATCAAGCAAGACAGGTCGAAGAAAGTTTCAAAGTTATTCCAATACTGCGACCAACCCGTTTCTTAAATTTAAACACTAGTGTCAAGGAGCAACTTTCGACAACAAAGCGGTGAAGGAGATTCGAACAATAACCGAAATTCCGAGTTTCCCATTTGGAATGTCCAGAACACAAGAGAAAAGAAGCAAACTGCTCAAAGAAAAACCCTGGAGATTCAGGTTCACACAAGGACGTTTTCTCTCCTCCTCGATCGATGTCCTTCAAGCATAGTTCAACCGGAAAATGTCATTAAACACATAGAAGCTTCCTGTTGGTGTTGGCATCAAATGGAACATCTGAAAATGCAGAAACCATGAGGAAAAAAGATGGTCAGCAAGATGGTTGATGCAAATCAGGTCTCCACCATCAAAATATTTTACAGCATATCAACATAGCAACGCACAAAATTGCAATCAAGAACAAGATGTCTCCTACAAGACAATGCCAGAGAAGCACTGGCTAGCTAAGTAGTGATTCACATCGATTAGCTAAACCTAAAGCGTTTTGTAGCACTGAAGACCCGAGTACAAAGACCATAATCACGCCATAAGCACTTGCAAGATGTATGCAGTAAAAACTGGGAAAGGAACATAGAGGGTCTCTAAAGTTCGGTTAGCAGCAGAATACTGTATCCAATAAGTGTCATCCCACAATGTCATGGGAGGTTAATCAGTTTTCCTACAATCATGGAAACGACATTGAATTTCTCTCTGCTAGACAACTGAAATCCAAGGTTATTGCAGGAAGTATTGAAAGAAAATAAGATCCCAATTGTGTGATTGATCAACGGAAGCCATCTCTCATTCTCTCCAACCTCAAGAAACTAAGCCATCCCAAAGATAAAGGATGCAAGGAATCATCATGCAATTAGCAATAAAACCCAGGTTAAAGCTGTAGAGGTTAAAACAGCACTCTGAATATCTGTTTGCTAGACAACTGAAATATTTGGGTCTCCCAAGAAGTATCTACAGTTCGGTGGTATGGTTGATCTAAGGAAGTCATCTCTCTGCCTCTCTAGAGCCGAAGGAACTAAAATTATGCCTAAGATGGAAGGAATGGATGATGCAATTAGCATAAACCTGGAAAAATCTGAGCTCAAAGCAAAACTAGTGTAACAGCAACAAACCAATAACTCCTTGAGAACAGCCTTGTCCTCAAGGCTGAAAACAATTAAAATATCAGCAACCTAGAAAACAGATAACAAGACTAAATGAGGCAGTAACCAAAAGGAATGATTGCAACAGCTTGATGCTTAGTTTTGGCAGGAATGGATGATGCAATTAGCATAAACCTGGAAAAATAAGAATCAGTACTATTCCAAACTACTATTGTGAAAAGGAAACGGCCAGCAAACATAGCTCCAGCAGCAATGGTGAATTACGAATTACCGAACAATTGAATCTAGCGAGTATACAACAATCGAAGCTAGCAAACATTACAAGCCATGAATGCCAAGCTCTCAAGGTCACAGAAAGATCAGAATGGTCAGATCTAAGAGAACCTTAAACAGTATACGTTATTTCCTAATCCCGTCACCAAATCCCTAAGTTCCTAAGCCTTCTCCTAAATTTCAGCAGAACGTTCAATCGGGACATCCGAATCTCACAATCTATGTATCTACGATCGACTAGCAGAAGATCAGAATTGGGGAAAAGCACTAGCTGCTAACCCTAGCAATGCCCACGAAGAAGCATCGTTAACGAAATTGGACAAAGATCGAGGTCGAAGGAACACAAACCTGGCTGAACTTGAGAGCGTGCTGCTCGCCAGCGAGCTGGAGGTTACCAGAGACGAAGACGAGCATGCCGCCGGCGGGACCAGAAGGCTGGCAATCGACGGTGGTGATGCTGTGCTGGCACTGCTGGAAAGGAAGGCTGGTGAGCTTGGCGACGATGTTCTGCGAGCCCTGGATCTTCTGGCCTTCGAAGGTCAGCATCGAGCCATCCTCGTAGAGACTGGCCAATCCTGCTCGGTTGCTGTCGAACATGCTGTAGTAGTGATCCACGAATGCCTTCGCGACGGCGTCTGGATCCATGGCTGAGAGCTCCGGATGTCGAATTCGCGGAAGGAACTTCTCGCACTCTTCCCGCCGCTCTCTTTGTGCTTTCTCTCTTACAGCTTAGGAGTCACGCGAAGCTTGAAGAGGGGAAGACGGACTGGACGGACTGACTTGAGGTTAAAAGAGGGGAGGGCCCGGGCTAAGGAGATAGGCCGGCCATGCGAAGGGCTTCTAAGATAAATTTGTCAGAACCTGAGGGCCGACGCGCAGAATAATGATAATTGTGAGGACCGACGTGCAAAATAAAGAAAGCAAAGAGGTTTAAACTGTTTAAGTAAGAAAAACATAAATCGTCGACAGCAGGGTTCGAACCTGCGCGGGCGTAGCCCAACAGATTTCAAGTCTGTCTCCTTAACCACTCGGACATATCGACATTTAATTTGTATTCTGCAAATAGCATATATCAACGTTGTTATCTTATACTGCTGGAATTTCCATGGTCTAAGACTAAATGTTGTCTATTGTCCTTGAGTTTGCTTATTTCCTTAGCTTTGTGTTTGATCCAACGATCACCTTTGTCAAGCTAACATATTGTTTAACTGAACACACAACACCTTCCAGTTCCTCGAGTAGTGAAATTTGATTGGCAGAAGTTAAGAAGACAGAAGATAAGTTGAGCAAGTATGAATATTGTCCACTCACAATAATTGAAGCATATGGTCTACCTCATCTAGGATTCCTGGGAAGAGAATCACATTGGGTATTATACTGCAGTTTATACTTGCCAGGTGATTCCCATCAAAATTTCTAATGGCTTTGATTCAGTGCCCCTTTCCCTGCTGCATACATCTGCAAAAGCTCTCTTGCTTTTGCATCCAGGAAACAAATGGGAGATGATAAGAAGATATCTGGATCTTAGTTTTACACATCTATACAATTATACACCACCTCAAATTCATAGCAATGGCAATCTTACAGACTACAAAAATAAACTCAAGCCAAAAACAAACAGTCTAGTCTAGAGATTTGACAACTTTCTAAAACACATATACAAGATACAGTTCTCTCTACTTTGCTAGGGGGAAGAAACGAAAGCTATCTTTCTGTTTCTCATTGCTTCAACTGGAATCTATGGTACAAACATTGGGTACACTAGTACGCTACAAAAGGAGATTTATCTTCATATACTTGCAGACTTGCTCGAATCGCCGCCTATTCTAACAGCAACTTTCTGCTCTCTGCACATAGACTCTACTGTAATTGAAACTTCTGAATGGCGGGGAGATATTATCCAGCTTCACAAGGAAAATGATGCTTCAACTCTACGATGGGATGGAAGCTCGAGCTCTACCGAATCAATAACCATGGCTCTTATGTACAACAATGCCACGGATCAGAAGCTTTCGAGAAGGAACATGAGATAATAGTATCAGGATGAGTGGAGAACATGAAACTTGCATCAAGTGTTTGTTCATCCAGGTTCAAGAATTACTCACTGTGGGGGCAAAATATGGTAATCCCATCTGAGCAGCTTCTGAACTGGCCAAGGACCTATGCTGCTGATTGAGCTCTTAGCTCATTCAGAAGTTCTCTCTGTACATTTCATCGGAAGTTAACTTGTGAAAAAACGTGAAACTTCCTGATACAATTGTTCGGCTTCAAACGGCTTGGAAACATATCCATCCATCCCACAGCGCAAGCATTCCTCTTGTGTCGCCTGGATGACATCAGCTGTCATTGCCAACACGGGTACATGCCAATTCGAGATGTTTCCACATGCTTCAATTGATACATCTCCATTTTGAATTCGAACATTGATATTATCTTCCATTTCCCTTATTCTTCTTGTAGCTTCAAAGCTGCAGGTAAAACAAAATCAGCAGAGACCCAAAAAGATAGGCAGAAGAAATAGAATAATGAAAAGACCAATTTACCCATCCATCTCAGGCATCTGGATGTCCATGAAGCAGGCATCAAACGTGTGAGGAGGCTCGAGGAAAGAGATCGCCTTCTCACCACTCTCGGCTGAGACCACATCAGCTCCGTATCTTTTCAAAGCACCGGTAGCTACCTTAAGGTTCACATAATTGTCATCCACAATAAGAATCTTCCTTCCAGCAAGCAATCCTCGAAGAGACAAACTAGGGAGCTCCCTGGGATTCCCCTTGTTCCCCACTCCCATTGCTCTTTGCAAAGATGCGGCTAACATACTTGACCTCAGTGGCTTCATGATGGTACTCGGTCCATGAAGATCGAGACTCATGGTGCTTGTTTTGGAATAGTTGACAGAGTTTGCAAGGAGGAATAGCTTTGGACAACGCTGGTGGTCCAATTTTCGTAAGTTGTTGACAAAGAGAGAAGCAACTGTTGAATCTACATCCCAAACATCTTGTTCAACTAGGACCATGCTGAAAACTGTGTCCCCAGTACTTATACTAGACAAAGCTTGGTCCAAAGTAGGAACTACTTCTACTTGAATTCCAAGCCTTTGCACATGGTATATCGAGACCTTGGCTCTAACTTGCCTAGAATCGACGACCAAGGCTCTCATGCCTTGAAACTCTGGGTACGCCATCTTAGATTGGCTGAGCTTCGAACAACCATTTGTAAATATGGCAGTAAATGTGAAGGTCGAACCAACCTTTGGTATGCTCACGAATCCGATTTCCCCATTCATTAAGGTCACCAAACATTTGCTTATGCTAAGGCCAATTCCAGTTCCTCCTTGTTTTCTAGAGATGGATTGACCAACTTGAACAAAAGGAGTGAAGATACGAGAATGAGCTTCTTGAGGAATACCTTCTCCTGTATCCTCCACCGACACTATTACATTGATAAGGTCGGGAGAGAAAGAGCAATTGGATCCATCTTGACTGAAATTTCTGAATCCTGCCCAACTACGGCGTCTATCTGGCACAGGAAACCCGCTCAATGTCTTCCTTGATAATGCTTCTCTTTCAATATCTGTGGTTTCCATCACTTCCTCAACAAGATGCACGGTAACCAAAATGTGTCCTTTCTCAGTGAACTGATTACAAAACAACAGAAGAAACCATTATGTTAGAGCAATCAACTCAACCTATTAGATGTTACATCAGTTACCAAGCTTGTTGGGATATATTGCCCTTCAGACAGTTAAGAAGTGGTTAGCCTATTACATAGTTAGGGGAAGTGGTTACATTTAATCAAGGCTGAACAATGTAAAGGACGTCAGCTCCTTGATTAGTAATGTAAAGGCTTTTTTTCCTTCTTTCTGAACAATGAGAAGAGATGCCCTTTCCCAAGCTCTCATTCTCAATGATCTCACATATCAGTCATCATTAGACATTTCGACGAGTAAAGAAGAAGAACGTGACTAATTTTGGGACTTACTTTTATTGAATTTCCCATGAGGTTGGTGATAATTTGTCGGAACCTTCCCGGATCACCGATGAGTGTATCAGGAACACGGTGAGAGATATAAACGGCCAACTGTAACAAAAGACAAAGTTTATTAGTTGGGAAATGGAAGCTGATTCAAAAATTCAAAAGAGTATCTAAGACTGATCATATGCCTACCTCAACCCCTTTCTCCTGAGACTTTCCAGAGAAGAGAGACAACACATCATCCATAATGGCTCTAAGGTCGAACCGTACGGCTTCAAGATCAAGTTTCCCAGACTCTATCTTTGCTTGGTCCAACACCTCATTGATAAGTGAGACAAGAGCTTTTCCACTAGCCTGTGCAGTTCGGACATGGTCTTGTTGCGTCACATCAAGATCAGTGTATAAAAGCATATCTAACATTCCTGGCAAAGTAAATCCGAACACAATGTATTACATCCCAAAGAACTTGATATCAAGCATAGTCGTAAAAAGGAAAAAGAGCTGTTCGACCTTACCTAGTACACCATTCATTGGGGTCCTGATCTCGTGAGAGACAGTAGCAAGAAACTGCAACACAAGGGAGGCAGGTAAAAAAAAAGCCCTAACAGGCCAAAGCAAAGAAAGCACTTCAACTAAAGAAACTACACACATTTAAGTACCTGAGACTTTGCAACATCAGCAGCCTCAGCCCTTTTCTTTAACTCAATCATCTCATCGTATTCCTCCTGTACTTTGGCCATACGATTCATAGTTGCATAGCCTATGTATCCAATGAGTAAAGTAATCACAAGGGTAGAAACGGAAGTCGTTATTGCAAGCCACGGCAATGGGGCTTTTTGCTTGAATCTGGATCCAAAAGAAAAAACAATAGCTAATGACAACCGAATTTGAATACATGCTGACTAAAAACAGAGACGTCAGTTATTAAATTACCTGCACCGCATTTCATGGTCTCGAAAGGGGTCACCGAAGTTAAGGGCGCTCACATGCTCCAATTTGTCGACATATACATTCGAGCCATACATACTGATCGGGTGAGAACGATTAGTTGTATCATATACATTCACCAAGATGGTTTGTTTGCTGGCGAGCTGTTGAAGTAGCTTCTCAACTAGTGACTCAATGTCGAAGATACCTCCCAAATACCTGAAAAAGCATAATGCACGAAGTTAAAAGACTGAATAAGCCTCAGCATCTTATCACTGCACATCGTAATGGGATAAACAATATTTACCCATCAGTAGCTTCCACTCTCTCCCGTGGAGTTGCATCCGGAGGGAGATCCCTTTTATAGACAGCAAATGTCAAAATTACACCAAGGCGATTGGTTTTCAATAACCTAAAAGGAGCAGTTAGTACCCCCTTCCCAGATTCTCTTGCTCGTAGCACATTGCCGCGGTCTTCCTACAAGTTCCACAAATGAATATTTGAGGCTTACAAAATGAGAACTCCAAACTTGTTCCTAACTACCAAACCACCAATCAATTAAAATTCAAACATACATCCATGAAAATGGATAGATAAATCTTACTTTTCCAGACAACATATCAAGAGAAACCACATGAGCAACAGTATCTTGCGCCAAGATCACCGGAGCATATTCCTCCTGGACTGGAGATGGCTCCAACTTCTCTGGCATATGGTCGTCCTTCTGAACTGGATTTTGTTGAACAGTGTTCATCGTCCTAATGGACCAGCCTTGTTGCTTCTCGAACTTCTCCCTTTCCCAGTGAAGGACCCTCACAGCATATGCCACACCACTTGTTAATGGCCTCTCGAAAGCTGTTCTTTCTGTGTACTTGGCAAAGGTTCTCTACAGAAAGTATACTGATAAGTTAAAATCTCGAATCTCAAACTCAAGCAACAAGAAAAGGAAAAAGCTAATCTGCAAAGGAACTCCACAAACCTGATCAATAGCAGAAGGGTTCTTGCCATGGTGAAAGGTGGAGATCAAGATGGACATGGCTTGAACATGGTTCATACTAACATTGAACTGATCCTGCAACATCCTAGCTCTCTCATCACACATGCTACCAAGAGTCTCTTTCCTCTTGTCGATTGCTTGGTTGTTGAAGAAACGAAACATCAATGCACAAGCCACTATCCAAAAAACTGCCCAAGACCGTAAAAGCTTTTTCCAGAAGGATTTCTGCACACTCTTCGCCTCAAGGACCTGGTGGATCTTGCTACTGTTCACTGAGATCTTCTCCCACAGTTTCAGCCACATCTTACCGCCAAGCAAATTAGCAGCAGCAGCAGAAGCAGAAGAATTGGATGGCTCAATTTCGCTATCTATGAAGGAATTCATTGAAATTACCGACACAACCCAGCAGCATAACAACAAGAGGAGATGCCCGAGTTTTAAGCCAAAGCCAAGGACATGAAGTAAACTCATCCAAAACAGTAACCAACTCAGGAGTTAAGCTCGTTCCAGCTGGAAAGATGGAATTCCCACTAACTCAAAATTCTACAGAAGCTGTCGAGTAAAAACCCAACATGGGTAAAAGAAGGGCAATAAAACAAAAAAGTTCAAAACTTGGAAGAAATAAGACGCCAGGCGAAGTCTGGAAGGCACTAAAACCCCACTGGAACGGGGGGAAACCAAGTGGAACCAAAAAAAAAAAAAAAAGCAGCTAGATGCTGTCTTATCAAAAAGGGATGAAACGAGATAAGAAGATAGAATTTCACAGGCAGCCACAAGTAAGAATGAATAGGAATCCCTAAAAACCAGATACCTGCTAGAGCTTCAAATGGCCAAATTTGAAGCTTTTCATCAAGCTTTCAGGACCCAGAACAAAGATTCCAAGTTCTGCTACAAACCCAGAAAATGAAACCAAAGATTCTGAGAAGGGAGATGTGGGGAAGAATCAAAATCCTTGATTGGTGACAATATGGGCTTATATCCTAACAAAGAACCAAAGGGTTTAACAACATCATGAAAGCAAGTTAAGCTCTCTGCTTTCTCAAGTGTAGTCTAGTGTGATAAGGCCAGAAGGAAGAGTAGAGCATGAATTCTGATTAGGACTAACAGTGCAAAGAACAAAATTAACTGGAAAAGAAGCTGAAAGAAGTGGATTCATAGACATACGAATAAAGAGAGGGGGAGGAGGAAGAATCTCTGTAAGGAAAAGGATGCAAGGAAGGGAATGTGGTTTATGCCTGCTGCCATTAGCCCATTATCTCTATCCATACTCTTCTCTTCAAGGCCTCAAAATACATCCAAAACACAAAGCTTTTTCCAAGAAGAAAAAAATATAAATAAATAAATGTTCATATAAATATAATATCTTGATGTGAGTCATCAATTAATACATTTATTTATCTATCATCTATGGGGCAGAACGAAAGAAGGATATATTTTATTTACAAAAATAAATGTTCTAAAGGCTCCAACTAAATGTGTATATAAAATTATGAATGGCATATAGTTCCAATGCTTTTTTGGCAAGTCGCAACTCATCTACCATTCTTTTTTTCAGTTCACATCCCCATCGATCTATCTATCTATCTCTTCCATACTCAAGGCAGCCAACTTTTACACGCTAACTCATCAAAAATTGAAACCCAACTCTTTTATTTTATATATGCATTATCATGGAGATGATGCTGATGACGACGATGATGTTTGCTCAACGCTCATGCACATTCATTCCCATTTATTGACAAATTTTGTCCTCTGCAGATTGCATGAACAACATTCAAGTGAATGAACAAGGCTAAATGTTAGTCATAAAATTGCTCAGTGTGAGATACCGATAAATTAGATTTTTTGGTGCTACGATAAAACGTTAGTTATAAAGAAATGAGATAATCATATTAGCAACTGCGAGTGAGTCGAAACAAAAAGAATGTAACTACTAGCAAACATACACAGCTCAATCATTGAAGTTGGGCTCGGTCTCGTGTATTTATAACAGTAGAAAAACCTGATGCACTATTCTCATGTACCAATAATTAGTTTCATGGAAAAAGGATTGGCTGGGGTAGCATTTGAGGAACATAGTAGGTGGAGGTGAATAGGTTAGGCCCCAATGATAGTAACCTCTCAAGGTAGAATTATTATGTATTTTTCATATCAATTTTCCTTTTCCCCTTATCTTGTTATTATTAATTACCATGCAATCCAAAAATTTATATATAGCAATACTCTTTCCCAACCCAAGTAGGCATCAATCTCCCTATGTTCCTATGAAAGAAAATTCAAGGCCAAATAAATAGCATTATGAAAATTACATGAGTGTCAAATAATCATCACTATATCCACACTTCTTTATTACCCAGTATCTAGAATGGACTCATAATTTTGGTGCCGTTTTCATTTTTGTATGGTATTGGTATAGACACCGTATATAATCGGTACTTAATTGATTCTAACAAAATAAGGTCCATAAATAGGCTTGTTGATCGTCTCTAGCCACACGACTACTATTGACAGATGTATAAGATTGTAATCTCACAAAGATTGATACTTTAAATTACTATTCCTACAACCAAATGAGAGTTCTTCAACAAACTAAACTAAACTAAACTAAACAAAACAAAACAAGAAATAACAAAACTAGCTAGGGGAAAATCATTTGGAGATAGAAATTACCTATACTCGAATCCCCTGGAAGCGAGCTAAGATTAAATAGATGCAAACATTAACTTGTTTCCTATCACTTAGATGGCAACATTAACTCACTATTCGTGCAATTAACAATCTATTGTCTATATATAAAAAAAAAGCCAAATAATTAGTACAATTACATTTTTGTTCTCAACCAATATTTAGAAATGAGTCATGCTCCTGGTGCAATTTCGGTCCTATATGGCACTTGTAGTTGTATAGGATGAAAAACTTAACTTGATGGTTGTGTGTCCAAATTGTGTAATTAAATTTCTTTTTATTTGATAACCCAGAGAATCTCAGTCCCACGTGCCGCTTGAGCGACAACGGGGCCTACTAAACCACTGGGAGTACCTGCATACTAATCAGGGCTTTCTGCTACCAACATCGGGGAGGCTTCACCTCCGATACCAAGAATGCCGCTGGGAACGATCAAGTGGCGCGCCACTGGGAATCGAACTCAAGACCTTCCACATCCAGAGCTCAATTGGTCCAGTGGTTTCACCACTAGGCTATGTTACCTTTGGCAATTGTGTAATGAAATTTCGAACGACTTTATATGTGCAGAGACTTGATCTCCAACGTTTTTTCTATATTATTTTACCATTAGTACTTTATATCTATAATAATCGCTCCTCTACCTATACATATTTTTTACATCTCACTTTCAACAAATCACTTAGCTCCGCACATCTTCAATCTCCCTATGATCATTTTGTATAATACACACATTCTAACAAAGTTAGAGACAACCTTAATTACATGCAAATGTAAAAAAGACAAAAAGCCCCACCAAACGATATAATAACCTTTGGGGTACAAACTTTGTAGTTGTAACCAACTCCCCTTCTTTCAATTAAAATGGGCAAGAATTGGTGTGGTGATGACTAATGAGCATCTCTTTATAATGTTTACCCACTTTAGCTTTTGTTTACGATTGGGGAAGCAAGCACCCAACAAGAAGGAAGTGGCTTTGGACAAGGAACTAGGTTTTTGTGCGTAATTTAGACTTAAAGTCAGAGGGCTGTTTTGTCATTTCAAGCAGGTAGTGTGGGTCCCAAGTAATGGCTGGCTGGCTCCTCTCTAATCAAAGGCTTCATCGTCACGGAGTGTGATTGGGCCATCACCACTTCTTTCGCCTATCACCTCAACCTTTTTTGGGTCTTAAGTACACTCCATGGTAACTGTAATTTTCCCCCTTTTAAGTTTTTTGTATGAAGGAATATAAAGCAAGGTTGTCAACCCGGTTTATACCATTGCGCTGGTTTAGCAAGTTGAATAGTTCTATCAGTAGTATAATTGGTTTGTGTCGGTTCATGTCTGTTTATAAAATATGTAGAGGTGTCAAAAATCATTAATATCAAATGAATTTAATCATATATAAGCCCTATTTGAAGACAATTTAAGTACAATTCATATTGATATTTAAATTAAATTTGATATTTCAAATAAAATTACATGTACTCATATTTCAATTCAATAAATGACGTCATTTTACTTAAAACTTCGTAAATCAATCATGCTGGTCATACTGGTGGTGTCATGTTGGTTTCATGACTAGCACCTGACATGTTGGGCGGTGTGACAACCATGATATAATTTTTTTTAATATAACATTGCTGGAGTGATATTTCGATGGCAAAATACACTTGTATAGTCAAAACTTTCGCGTTTGTGTCAATAATAGCCAGATTTGGAGAAATAGCACTTATAGCCAGCTTTTAAAGTTGTTGTCAGACAAATATAGCCATTTCCGTCTAATACTTTAACTATGTTATTAACACCGTTAACTTATTTGACGGTTTGCTGACTAGAAGCCAACTTAGCAAACACATCAGCGCCAAATAATCAAATAGTGACACGTCAAATATTCCTATTATTTAATATTTATACATCATAAATAAATAAATAAATTTTTATTTACACTCATATAGCCATATGCTTCGCACGAATCATTTTCCCCTTTTCGACTCCGCCGCTGCAGCAGCCGTTGTTGCGCTGATGGTAGGATGGAAGTCAATTGGGGGCCGACTACGAGAGGTGATGCATGTCGTTGAAGGTCGGTCGCCAAAAGGTTGACATTATTCTCGGCACCGATTTCACCCTCCGCTAGTCTGTCACTGGTTTCGATCGAAGGAGAAGGAGGAGCTGCTACAAGGGGAAGAGTGACAGAGGAGTACATCGAAGGGAGGCAATTGGAACTGGGACACTACGGCGAGGTGAGATGGCGTTGCTTGCCGCCGCTAGTTGATTTCTTGCAGATCTGGTGGGGAAGCTCGACTTGGAGCGACGAAGGCTGGGGACGACGATTGGACTTCCTTCTGCCACAACGATGGCTAGGGACAGCGAGCGACGACTGGTGTCCTCGACGATCTGGAGCTTTTGCGGCGTTGGAGAGGAACGACGATAGTGTGGGGGTGATGACTGATGGCGGCGATGTCCGGGTCTACGAGATTTCAGGTAAGAAGCTTGTTCAAGGGGAAGTCTGCATCGCGGAGGTCGCCGGAGAAGGGTTGGGCGGGGGAGGGGAGGGGAGGTAAGAGGAGGAAGAGGGTGCATGTGTGGAATTGGGTTAGTGGGAAGAGGAAGAGGAAGAGGGTAGTGAAGAGAATGACTGCCCCGGTGAGGAATTTGGAGGATTTCATGGGAATTGGAATGTGGTGAGGAGATGATGATGAAGATTAAATGTAAGTGGGTCTCGAACTGTGGTGCTTCGAGCCCATTGCTAGCTATGGAGAATGATGATTTTTTTTGCAGGGGGTTTTGATCAACGAGTGTACTTTGCGTCTTTTTGGTCCATTTTCTTCTTCATCTTTTTGCTTGTTTGCTTTGGTCCGCCATTAATGGTGGAGCTCGAGTTCTTGCAGAGGCACATGGAAGGAGAGAATTTGTTTTGACTATTTTTTTTAAAGAAATTGCAATTTTATTTTTATTATATATATATTTTTTGTTAATTGCACCTATGTCACCACATCAGCCTTTTTGTTAGTCCAATCAACATGTTAGTTGATACCGTTAAAGAATTGGACGGAAGTGGATATAAGTGGTATTTCTCCAAATCTGACTATTATTGGCACAAACGCGAAAGTTTTGGCTATACAAGTGTATTTTGCCTATTTCTATTAAATCAATATGTTGTTATTGAGTTCACATATTTTCCATGGGACACTACAACCATTTAGTTTACCGAGTTTTTTGTGTGGTATTAAGCTAAAATTTTTTAATTTTACAACTAGTAAATAAGATGATACATGATAAAACATGTTTCACCATAGATAGAATTCAATGATAGATAGTTAAAGTACAATAAGCAACCAAACGCAGCAGTCGGCAAATAATCGAATTGCAAACGGTCATAACGGTCACTAAATGGGCACCCTATTGTACAGTATGGAGTATATGCAGCGAAAGAAGAAAAATTCAGAATGTCCTTATGAATTTCCTGTAATAGAGCTCCGCCCACCCCATGTGTTGCATCCATGTCTTGGACCCTCGGCACCAAAGTTGCAGTCGCCACAAAAAGTTAATAATCAAGAAACCATGAGTAAGGCACCAAGCAACCACATCTCGTTAGGCTAAAATTTCCATAATAAAAGGATTAGTGATACC